TTTAATGACACTAAAATAACAGCACCAGATGACAAAATCTTCCGTGTGAACCTGTATCATGAACCTGTCAAACAGCTTTTTAGTTGCCATTTTATTTTTCTTTTTACTTTGTTTCATCAAACTGATTATCGTACCCCAATGTGTCAGCATTAACTAATAAAAATGGTTTTCTTTTTAATGGCTAACATTGACCAGACTGAATTGTACAGAGTCACTGTAGTGGTATGATTACTCCCTTGGAGACTGCAGCTTCCCAAGCTGTCATGATTTTTGTTAAATGAACTGTGGATTTAATAGAAGCAGATGTATAACAACAAAATATAATACAGCTTGTACTTGTTCTGCAAAATATGTATCACAGTTTTATTTAAAAGACAAAATCCAAAAGCAGCATTTGTTTGTTTCCTTCATTGGCATATCGCAGCCCTTAAGCATTAAAAGAAATATTTGATATCTTAACTTGAACAAAAGTATTGTTTGTGTCTCAAATTGAATATCTTCTGCAGAAGCTACTCTGTAACCAGTCTTTTACTGATATAACCTGTTTGATGGAACCAGAGGTAGGTTATTCAGCTAAGAGTTTTCAGGCAAAGTAAATTTCTCAGGAATTTAGAGTAATAGCCCTATTAGAGCTTCTGTAAGGAGAAAGCATGACTCACAAATCAAAGTATTTGGAAGAAATTAATGAGCATATGGCTAAGGGAAGTCCATTTGCTGTGTGATATTTGACTATCCAAAAATGTGTTCAACTATTTCCTTTCAACTGATGAAAGAAAGTAAATTGAAAGGTTCTATTGTAGAATAATGTCTGATTAAAAATAAAGACCTAAAGTGTGGGTAAATGGGCAGATTTAATGGTGGAAAGAGCGTACCCACAGAGCCCTAGCAAAACCTCACCTGAAGTGATGGCTGTTCAATACATAAGAAAGGTAGCAAAATGTTCTGATAATTTAAGAAATTTACTTAGCATTATTAAAATGGATTGAGGAATTTTAGAAATATCTTGAAATACAGATTGACCTGGCTATGAAGCAGCTGGATAAATCCAATGTGTTCAAGTTCAAGGTAAAACTAGTCAAAAAAACCCTCATGATGCACATGCACGTGAGTCTTAAGTCTCAGGAAGAGATAGCCTTGGGTGGGCTTCCTTAAGGCCCATCTGCCAGGCCTGTGCCTGGGAAATTGCTCAGTTCATCAGCACTGCTATGGTCAGAGTAGGATTGTATTGAAAATTCTGTGGTTTGGACCCTCACACAGTACTTGAGCAGTATTAAGCTTTAGCTTAATCCAAGCTTCCCACCTCATGAGAATGACCTGATATCCTCAGGGCAGTGAAAAAAGATGGTCTTCTAAAGACAGATCTTACTGGTGTGTACATATATATTAGGTTGTAAGGCTAATATTGCTTAGAAATTATTATCCAGTCTCATGTTTCCTGTGTATGTCATGTTGTTATGCTTGAACTGAACACCGGAATAGAAAGTATCTCTAATGCGGTAGTTTCAATTTTTAGGAGTGGTAAATTTTGTGTTTAATTCACATTGAAAAACTAACAAACGTGTCAAACCAAGACTGGAACTGCAATTAAAAAAAAGAAAATTGTACAATGAATTACGTATTCCCCAAAGGTAGAGATTTGCTATGGATTTCAGGAATAATCCTCCTAAAGCTAAGGAAGGTGAACACTTCTGACTGTATATGGTCACAGCTGACAAAGTGATGTACTCCGCAATTTAGCTGCCTTCAGTTTAGAAAGGAAAATTCACCATTCTCTTATAAGGAATTCACATATTTCAAATACCATTTAATGCATCTCCAGCATCAGAACTAACACGCCTTCAAATCAAAACTTTCCACAAAGTTCCACACCTTAAACAGAGGTTGATTAAAAAAAAAAAAAAAAAAAAAATGAACATCCACATCTCTTCCAAGTCTGCCAAAGCTAGGATGTCTACAGGAGATCAAAAGTCTTGGCATCATATACATATTCTTCTTTTGAAAATTATCTTATGGTGGACAACAGGATGACCATGAGGCAGCAATGTGCCCTGGTGGCCAAGAAGGCAAATGGCATCCTGGGGTGCATCAAGAAGAGTGTGGCCAGTAGGTCGAGGGGGGTCATCCTCCCCCTCTACTCTGCCCTGGTGAGGCCGCATCTGGAATACTGCATCCAGTTCTGGGCTTCCCAGTTCAAGAAAGACAGGGATCTGCTGTCCACCAAAGGGCTACGAAGATGATTAGGGGATTGGAACATCTCTCATATGAGGAAAGGCTGAGGGAATTGGGTCTCTGTAGTCTAGAGACAAGAAGATTGAGGGGGGATCTTGTTAATACTTACAAATACTTAACAGGAGGATGCCAGGGGGATGGGAGCAGTCTTTTTTCAGTGGTGCCCAGTGATAGGACGAGGGGTAATGGGCACAAGCTTGAACATAGGAAGTTCCATCTTAACATGAGGAGGAACTTCTTTACCTTGAGGGTAGTGGAGCACTGGGACAGGCTGCCCAGAGAGGTTGTGGAGTCTCCCACTCTGGAGACATTCAAAACCCGCCTGGACGCTGTCCTGTGCAACCTGTTGTAGGTGACCCTGCTCTGGCAAGGGGGTTGGACTAGACGATCTCCAGAGGTCCCTTCCAACCCTGACCATTCTGCCATTCTGTGATTCTGTGATCTGCTAAAGCCAAACGCCCTTATTCCAGGCCCCACTCAAAACTGGTTGTGATACATGCTGGGGTCTAGTCCTCATGCACACATTTTTCATGTTAGGTCACTGAATACCACTGGGAGGGCTGGCAGGTGTCCTCATCCCTGTGCTCCTCACCGTGAGAGAAGAATATATATACAGAATATACCTGCATGCACCACATCCATATTAAAACAGCTGCCATGCCTCCATTTTCAGCTCCTCTTGGAAACTGCTATTCTGTTTTCTCACATCTCTATTTTTTAAATACTTAATGTATACCAGCTGTTAGGGGTGGTCAATTTCAAGGTAAGCTGGAATCAGTCCTGTATGTACATGTGTGTGTTGGTGAGTTACGCATACATACCCACACACCTGTGTGCAGTTTCTTTCCCATTCTGAAATGACAAAGAAATTTTAATAAATAAATATAAGAAACTTTTGAAAACGTGCAATTTTTTTAGGAAAGTAGAGTTGTTTACCTCTGACTTGCAAGCAGATATGGCAGTTTATACACCAAAGGAATTTATTCTGATGGGATGAAACAGAGATTTGAATAGGTCTTTCAATTTTTAAGTAATGCATGACAACACAATGAAAAATGACACTTTTCCAACAAAAGTGGGTTTTCTAAGTACATCCTATATTGTGCTTCCCTATGTGCTGGTGACAAAGAATTTGTTTTCTTCTGGCACTACTATGCACCTGGCACAGCAGCAGGAGACCGCTGCATTTTGTTATATTTTGTGCAGCGTGAGCAGAGTTATTAGTCAAGTGCTGAATGCAGTGCCTTTCTTGCTGCGTGATACATGACACAGAAAAGTAGAACTAGGACTTTAGATTCAAGCCGAGCTTCATGGACTGTTTAAAAATGTGGGTGAAATCATTGTAGGGTGCAAGTCAGTTATTAATTTCAATGGGGCCAAGATTTCATTTAAGCATATCCTGAAAGTAAACCAGGTTTTGTGCTTAAGAAGTAACACATTTGGAACCCCACGTGTGGAGGTTTTAGTTCATCTTTTCAGAGTGCAAGCATGTGCTTGCCCATGGCCCTTGCTCCATAATCAACTTAAAATGCAATTTCGTTTGTATTTGTCTCCATTATCAGTGGCACACAATACGCAGGGATTGTATTGCCAGTGACTCCCAGCACTGTCTCCCTGCCTCAGCTTCTGCCAAAAGGAGCAAATTGCACCGGTCACTTTTTCTTCTCGTACCTTTAAATTAATGAGGAATTAAATTATTTGTGACTTTCTGCCCATATGGTGTAAGGATTTCATAGCAGTACCATTTCAGAGTTCATTCTCGGATACTGCTTAAGGTGAAGCACTGCCAGGCTTCTGAGAAAGTATAAAGTGTAAGTAAACATCTGCTCTGTCCTGTTGTGCTCAAAACTGCTGAAGTGCAGTTGACCCACAAATCAGATCTTTTGGGCAAATGAGCAGGATCAGCTGCTACAGTTGTTCCTGCACTTAGCTTATCTTTATACTCTGCATCAAATTTGAGGAAAAAATATAGTATCTACTTGAAAATTATTTGGGGTATTGTTAGTAGGTAGACTGCCAATCATTTGTATATAATGAATTTTCAAAATTTTCTCTGTTTGGATTGCTCACAATAACGGAATGCTCTTGTTCCTGTGCCCAAATGGAGTGGCTTCAGAAAACAATGTATGCAGAAATATCTTGATTTTTAAAAAGATTACATCTACAAGTTTTCCAGGTGAATAAATTAATGATAAATACCACACACAAAATTATGAACATTTGAGCATTGCAGTTAAATGCATACTTTGTGGCTTACTGACTAGACGTATGAGGTCTTTAACTATTTTTAATGCAGCTGAACAATATTATGTGTCTAGTTTCATATTTCTAAAGATAACTGCATGATAGTAGGTAGAGTATTGGCTAGATGCTGACCCCTATGGCAAGAGCAGTAACTACAGAATTTTAAATTTGCTCTTAGCAATTATTTCAATATTTGAATCTGAGGATCATTTTATTTCATTTTATCTGTAAAATCCAAACTCACAACTGTTCAGACAGTATGAGCTAAAAGAAATTGAAAGCTTAATCTCTTTCATTAATTTTGCAAAGGGAACAGTTATTTACAAGCAATATTTTTCTACTTTTTTTTTTTTTTTAAATTTCTGCAAAAAGAAGATGCTGCTCAAGTGCTTTAAATCTCTTCTAATAACGTATTTGGCATAATATTTTGGATCTATTTATATGCTATTTGTAACTACAGCCACTTGGGACTCGGAATAGTTGATCATTTCAGTTGCAATAATTTCTTTTCTCGTTTCCATTCACAGGATGCTCTGGCCCACTAGGGATAGAAGGAGGAATTGTGTCAAACCAACAAATTACTGCGTCATCCACTCATCGAGCTCTTTTTGGCCTCCAGAAATGGTATCCATACTATGCACGACTTAATAAGAAGGGTCTTGTGAATGCTTGGACTGCTGCAGAAAATGACAGATGGCCATGGATTCAGGTAACAGACGGAGCTGAGGAGGAAAAAAATCTCCTTGATTCAATTGCCAGAGTCACTTAAGAAACTGATGAAGACAAGTGGTAAACTAACAGCTAGATTCTTATTCTCTGTCAGAAATGTAGCCTAGGCTAAAAGGGACTATTTAGTTGCAAAACACTAATCATCTTGACTTGCACAAATCTTTTTATTTAAAAAACGTGTGTATATGTTCCATTGAGGCTCTAAACCATGGAAGCAAATTTATAGACTCTTTTCAAGGAATCTGCTCTCCACATATGTTACATTTTCTCGTTAGGTCCTTAGTAGCATTTCACAGCAATATCTCAAGGTGGCGATACTTTGACACATGCAGCCTTCCTTGGGCATCGTTCTAGAGTGCTTTAACGTGGTTTTGGCCATACCAGAGCCTGCAGGTGTAGTTTTTCCTCTCTGCTGAGCTGCTCTGGGCACACAGGTTAAGCATTGTGTGCATCATGCTTGAAGTAACAAGAACTGTTGTAATTAAGGTTGAGATAGCTGTTAGTTCAACCACATCCACAGGGCTGAAAATATACATTTTTTCCATTTCCACTCAAGGACGTTATCGCTAGAATGACTCAAATGGCAGTGCCCTCTTTATGGACTGGATTTCTCTGCACCCAGCAAATGACTTCAGTAAAAGTCATGAAGCAGGGAATATGAAGTCCTGTGGCTGTATTTTAATGAAGATTATTATCTAGTGATTGCCATAGCTTTTTACATTTATGGTGTTCTCTTTTCATGATATATGAGTTGGGCTAAGCTGTGGCATTTTCGGCTGCTAGTTAATAAAGTTGATGTTAGATACTTATGGGAAAAGCTTTTGTGCTAATCAGTATAGTCAATAAGTGAATAGGGTGCTTCCCTCCCAGGGAACCCACCACAGGAGTAGCAAAAGATGGTTCTTGAGCATCCTGTCTACCGACACTAAGTTAAACTGTCCATATGTCCCTTGGGCATATCAGACACACTCTTCTTGAAGTTATTTTCATGTACATGGCATAATTTTTGTTCATATGCAATTTTTTGTACTGGCTACCATTTGTGATTTTTCTGAGCACTTCCCAAATGTTTGGGGAAAAAGTCTACAGGATTACCTGTTCATTTTTCCTGTCTGGAGAGCAGGCACAAAGCGGTGTTTGATGAAGTTTTCTGAAACTGGTGTGGTGAGAGTGCTGGATTTTGTCAGTTCTGAAAAATGAAGCCAGTGTTACTGTTTGTTATTCACTGCAGAGCGAGAACACAAAGGACCTTCAATGCATCTTAAGTCAGTTTTCTTCTGTAAAGACCAGAGGGGTTAGGAAGTCTGTAAAATTTATACATTGAAAAACAACTGGAAAGAATAACGCTAAGGGACTTGAGCAGAATTATTTTCACAGGAGTAGAAAACTAATATAACTTTAATGGATAGTGAAAAAGTCAGTGTTACAGTAGCTTTTGGGCTGCTTTAGAGTATGGGCTTTATTAAATGAGCTGGGGAGAAAAATCCAAATCACAGTATCACAGAATGGTCAGGGTTGGAAGGGACTTCTAGAGATCATCTAGTCCAACCCAATCATTTAATCATTAAATCATTTAACACTGACCCCCTAGACATGTCTTTATCAGATGAACTGGATGGGGATGGCTAACGGTCTGTTGCTTCCACATTTGTACTTGGCAAAGCCACCACCCACCATGGAGGCAGCTGTCAGGCTGCTGTGCAGGTTTCTACCCAGACCAGAGTTGTGTCTGTCTTGGACTTTGCTCCAAGGGAAGCCTTCCCCTTGCCCTTACCTGGGAGAAAGGTTGCTCCAATGAAGAAAACATGTCTAAAATGTCAGCACAAGGCTTCAGGTTTGAAGAATGCATTCTTTTTTCGGAGCTAATGACCAAATCTAGGTACTGTCAGTCCCATGCAGGTTATTCAGTAATTTTGACAGCCATATTATGTAAGGACTTTTTAGAAGCTAATTAAGCTGTATGACTAACGTGTACTAAGCATCTGCATTCCCTTCTTTTTCTTCTTATTTTTCTTTAAAAATTAACTTTGGTCTATAATCTTCACAAAACTTGCCAAGTATTTTGTTTTTCTTTTTAGTTCAGAGTAAAAATAAAAATACTCTGTAGTTTAAAAACAGAAGTCTAAATCTTGAGATTTTTTTTTTCTTTTCTGAAGACTTTTCTCCTTAAACCACCAGGGAACAGAAAATCTAAATTTATCAGGGAGATGATACTTGTAGAGAGAAAGTGCTTTTTAGTCTTCTGCAGAAACCCTGTTTTGATTTGGCAAGGATACAGACCTCTACAAACTCAAATTTTATGCACTGCATAGTAGTTCTTTACATCAGACCACTGTCTTGTTCTTCAAGCATGAAATACACTCTAAGAGACAGACACTGCCTGACCCTTATATGGGTGAACAGTTTCTGTTGAGAGAAAAGGAGAAGCAGAAATCCCATATCTTATTTTTGCACAGCTTCTGTAACGGCCAGGGAGATACTTCGTAAGCAATTGTGGAAGGTTACGAAAAGTCAGCCCACTCTGATTTGTGCTAAGTTTCTGTCCATCTTCATTCTGGTCTTGTAGGAGAAATGCTCCCTCTAACAGCAGCCTACTCTTAGGTTTTACTTTCTTTATCATATTTCCAGCTTCTTCCTGGATCCTAGTGTGAGGGGACCTTTTCCATGCTGGTCTGAGTGACAAAGCAGCTGGTCCAGAAGATGGGTCCTGAAAAAATGTGAATCTTTGGCAGAGATTAAGTGGAAAGTTACAAAGCCAGAAACTCCATTTTAGGAAATGTAAATTAACATTTTGTGCAGTGAACCTGAAGCAGTATCCTGTTACCCTCTTAGAGTTTCCAATGCTAGATAAATTCTAAAGGAAGCTATGTATAATGGGCAAAGTCCCCCAAAGTATAAGCATGTACAAGCCTGTAGCTATTTTTGCCTTCTTCCATCATTATCTATTTTCTTTGTCATTTAATTTCTTTATTTATATGCAGCTTGGCAAATGAAAGGTTTGAGTGCTTTGCTTATAACTCACTTGTAATGAGTGCACAGTTTTTTTCTCTAATCTTTCAGGTGTCTGACACACATGAACTAATTAGTATGCAATTTCATTTTCCTGCATTCCTCCAATGAAATGAAAATTGAAATTGCCATTTTAAATTTACACTCTCAGCATGTAATTAGTAATGGCACTACAATGCTTGTAATTGGCTTGTGATTTAAAGGGTCAGTGACCATGTTTTTGAAAGCAAATTAAAGCCAGAGTAAGTCATATCTCCCTTTTAAAGTTCTGCTGACCTCTGTTTCTCCTCATAGTTGGCTGTGATAAAATAGCACCTGTGTATACTGTTTACCACTTCATTAGTGACACTAACTTTTAATGTCTCCAAATACAATGAGAAAAAATCCCACACTTCTGTTTTTCATTAATTGTTCATGAGATACAACCAAAACGGCCACTTTACCCGTTCTGGAAACCAGAGTTTTTTGTCAAAACCCCTTTTTTAAGACAGCACTGGTTTCTCTTTTTCCTTTTGTTTTTCTGCATGTATGGCTGCAATATGTGCTGTTTGGTTTTATTCTCATTCCACTTGATCTCCACTCCTCCCTTGCATATATATATATATACTTTTCTATTCACATATATTTTTTCTCAAGGCTGTATGGATCAGAATAGCGATGGCCATGGGCAGGATTGTTGCTTCTATTCTCTCTCTACCATATCCAAAGACACAATAACTGTTAATCTCTAACACAAACCTGCTAGCAGAACCTTTTAAATGTTATTCCTCTCTAGTGATTTCTAACATAGGAATCCATGCCTATATCCATAGATATTTCTTCTTCTCTCCCAGTTTCAGCACCCAAACCAAGTATTTCATAACTTGTTTTTCCTCTGCTCATGGATGTTTTCCCTTTTCTTCCATAAAATTTTATCCTTCTTTTTATATCTCTGCAGTTATTATTCCTGTAATACACATAGATTTTAGCCATGGTGGATATGCCAAAAATGCATAAAGTGGAATGTCGTGAAGAACACTGTAAGACAAGATAGAATAATTTGTCATAACTAGCAACATAAGGTCTGGTCTACAGTACCAAAATCCTAAGTTGTGCCATTAAAATGTATTAGTAACTGGGTCAGAAGGAGGCTGTCACAGGGATGATGGGTGAATATTGGCCCATAAGATAATAGTCTTGCTTCTTCAGACTCTTAGGGTAGGTGTAGTGTTTTTGTTCTGCAAATAGTACAAGTGCAATAGGTTTTCAGTCCATAGGTGAACCTTCCTAGACGTTAATTTGCCCAACAACAGTAAGACTTGTAGCACCTACATCAAGGAGCCTGGACTGGAGAAGGAGCTTACAGCAGAGATTCAGAGTCTCCTGCCACTGCATTGCAGGGCAGGCTGGGCTGGGTCAGATGGTCAGTACCCCAGGGATCCCTAAGAATATCAACCTCAGAAATATATGACAGTCCCAGAACAAAGTAAGAAGGTGGGTAAAGCCATAGAAGAGGTATAGGGTGAAAGTATCCAATTTAAGGCTATACAGCAAAAATTGGGGTGTGCAGTGAAGTCTAGTAGGAAGCAGAGACTGGTACAGTTGGCAGAGATGATGTTTTGAGTTAGGAGGGCTCAGGGAAAGTTTTGATTAAGGAAAGGATGGGGTAAATTTGATTTTCTGGTCCTGGCTGTGGCCAGTCGTTTAAGCAAGGAGTGGGAAAGATCAGTGCCTGCTGGTTCCCATGCAATTGCTGCTGTTGCACCGTGACGGGGCTATCATGTCTGAGAACAAGAGATCCCTTAATTTCTGCTTGTTTCCTGAGTGTGATTGCAAAGAGGATCCCTGGGAGGAATGTGCCTGATGATGCAATAATTTGAGTGGTGTATAAGAGACTAACAGCTCTTTTTAAAGTGCTTTGTGGTCTTTTAAACATGGAGTTTTTTACAGGGTCAGTATTAATCCACAGCCACCAAGAGAAGATTTGGGCAT